GCAAGTGTAGTTTAGCTTGGGTTATGTTTTAGCTGTGTCAGGTAACGATGGCTGGGTGTTGTGGTGTCCAGGCGGGGAGCGACTCGCACCCAAGCAGCAGGGTGACACCCTCAGTCTCAGATGTCGCCAAGGAGTACGTGAATGACCCCAAATTATCCTCCAGAATGCCTGTGGAAGATTCTTGGCAGAAGACAGTCACCAGCTGGGTCTCCGGTGTGCTGTGAGGCTCTGTGATCTGGGTTTCATTGGAGCTGGTAATGTCAAGTTCGATCCGAGGATTCTTGGAGCTGGGGTCATCTTGTAGGAGGCTGGAAAGGACCCAAGAACATATATCCTGGTGGGCCTTACCGTCCAGGATGTCCTGCAGCGACCTGATGTAGGCAGAGGCCAGCCTCAACGTTGTGATTTTGGTGAGATCTGAGGCAGCACGTCGGCGACACACCCACGACGGCAGGACACCACGCAGACTCTCAAAAGCAGAGTTGATCTGTCGCATGCGGTACCTCTCGCGGGCGTTAGCAGTCTTCCGCCGGTACCTAGAGAGAGGTGGTGGTCGCTGCTTATATGTCAGCGTGTCATGAAGGCTCCACTCGCTATCATAACGACACTGCCCCTGCCCCGATCGGGGACGCAGCTGGTACTTAACGCCAGCACCTGCAGAAGTCTGACACATACGTGTATCAACATCGTTGCCAGGATTGCCATCGTCATTTTTGCAGTCATCGGTATTGTTGTCGCGACAGCAAGTATCCTGATCGTTATTGTTAGTGTCCACTAGATCATCTTGACTGTGACGGCCGGCGTGGGCACTGAAATCGCCCTCCAGGGTGCCTATGGGGATGTCCGGCAACATGGTTAATATCTGTAACAGTGTCGCACACTCACCCGTCTGTTTCTCAACACAGCCACTAGTCTCTGCTTTTAACACACGTCACTACACTGTATATCCTCAGTATTGTGTTTTAGTCAGTTGCCTTCATCCTTGTCATCTGGAATGCAATGAAAGAAAAATAAATATTCATACAGAAATATTTTCACAACGCATGACATTTTTGGGGGGTTATTTCACTTAACCGTTCAAATCACTTATTCACAACGATAAAACCAAATCCAGGCACTGCTCTATGAAAGATCCGTGGTTGTGTTTTCCGTAAGAGTGTAGTTAATGTCTCACCTGTGTAAGCGAGGAGCGGAGGCAAGCACAGGTCGTACATGTTCCACCTCCAACCACACACTGACACCCTCCCTCCCTCCCTCCCTCTCGCTCGCTCCCACCCGTACTCTCTAACATTATTTACATTATCTAACCTTCCCTCAGGGTTTCACGTTTCCGCGTTGGAGACGCGTCAGGGGATGGTTTAACACTTCACCTCACCACTACCTCTATCTATTCCAGATTCTGAGTAAAAGGAAGCCAATTGTGTGAGGGTAGAGTCACAGCTTTGACCTAGTCTCTGGGGGCATATTGGCCTTGACTGTGGGTAAGTCTGCTGATGAAAGCCAAACCACGGTGTTCTCTTCAACAGTAATACATGCGGTGAGTACTGTACTGTATATTTATACATGCATACACACCTGTGTATATGTATAAGCAATTACTGAACGATCACCCCTCAGGTGTACTTTTAACTTAGGGTGTGAGATAATAAATACTTCCAATATGGGCAAAACCATTTATGTACAGTTTAAGACAATTATTGAGGAAACGTTTCGCAACAAGTGGCTTTAGTCCTAATACGGAGACAGCAAAAATCAATCAGTATGCCTAGTAAAGGTACTCGACAACATAGCATTTAACGTATCATGACAATGACAGGTAGTCTGTTAAATATAGCTTCTAATTCTTGGCCTCTTTCAGATGTTTAGCAAGAACCAAATAAACTGATATAATCAGCAGTGCAAAAGATGCCTTGTTGAGGGAGATGGAGGAGAGGTGTGTAATAAGAAATATATGGGCGAAACAGCACAATCTCTGGAACTGAAAGTGCATGAGTACAAATATTAGTAAAACAACAACACTCAGAACAACACTTGTGTCCATCGGTAAGTAAGACACATAGGCAACATGTGACATGGTTTCAGACTATGAAACAGAATTCTTCTCCAGGCTGTGGAACTGACAACCTCAAATCTTCTAGGGTAATGGACTGACTACATCGTCTTTACATCTCTACTGCTCCTGCCTACTTTACGTACTCGACTGAAAACGCCTGCTGTGTAAGCGAAACGTTTCGGAATAAAGGTGCCTAAATGTTGCCTATGTGTCTTACTGACCAACTTGTCGGTATTATATACCATTTTAATATTCACTTGTGTCCATCACAGAAGCGCATAGTGTCACCTCATGAAGTGGAAAGAAGCCAAGTTTGTTATCCGAGAGAACGACCCATATTTTCACACTTTCATACATTTGAGTCTTTGAGTGTTACAAAATTAGTAATTAGATTAACCCAAGATACTGTGAGGTGAGTGCCACGCATTTACGAACAAATGACGCAGTTTTTCATTCTCAACCAGTGTTGCCTGCCTAGGCAACAGTGGCCTAGATAGAGTCATGATATGTTGTAATTAAAACTTACTTCATATAAGCCCCAAAACGCCCAGCAGGTGGGTTAAACCCTGGTTCTTTCTCTCCCGTTAGTGACGCTCCTCTCACAAAACCTATTATTAATATCCATCTACCCAGTTCAACCCATACAAAGGGATCTTTATATAAAAACAAGGAAGCATCCTATGCAGTCGTAAATGTTTAGGGGCTGACATTCACCAACAGCATCCCACAGACTCCGTTAGCCATAACACCTCCAAAGTCTTGGCAAAGCGACTACTACCCAACCTAGACATTACATCTAGATGACACCAGCCAGCGAGGTCACACCTATTGCCTTCCTCCATACATCTTTATTACATCTCCATTTCATTTTATATATTTTCGCTTCTTTTTACCTGAATCCTATTTCTGTATGTATTACTTGTTCTAGTTGTTTCCGCATTAGGACTGTTGAAGCCGCCCGTGGCGAAACGATTCTTTTATAAATGTCTCGTACTGTACATAGAAGTCGGTTCATCTTCGGTCGGTATCACCATGACTATTCTCAATACGTCCAATTGAGACCTTGGGTGTTTGTGTACGATGTATCAGGGGAGGATCTGCTGTGAAACTAATGAAGCTTAATTAAGCTTCAGGGCCCCTAATTCCGGAGGGGCCCACAGTAGCGACTTTAGTCCACGTTGCTTAATTTTTTTGGGTCTTCTATACGAGAAGGTTTTTTTTTAATAATAATATTAATAACATATTGTAGTTCAGTACAAAATAATAGTTAAAACTCAAAAGGTTATTGTAGAAGATTACATTGGTTAGCCAGACCTCGTTGCTGGTTGCGAAGGGGCACCATAATAATAATAATAATAATAATAATAATAATAATAATAATAATAATAATAATAATAATTTTATTTCAGCATGATACAAGCTTCAGGGGCCCCAAAAATGCAGGTCCATCACTGCTTTGTATGTGTACTTGGGGTGTATAATAGACACCTTGGGTGTTGCTTTAGAAATATATACGTACATCTTCCTGGAGTTTATTTAAATAAAATTTACTTGTTCATGGGTTACTGAGGGAAAAAATATATACAGTGGTATGCATATATCTGAGTGTAGCAGGAAATGTCTCCTTAATAAAAGTTCCTCATACGCTGCATGTCTTCTGTTTTATAAAGATACTAGCATAATATCCGATTGCTTGAAGCTACAATATAAGAGATGTTTGTGTGCCTGTGAAAATCATTGTTAACTAAAGACATTGTCTATAACACTCAGTCTCGCTAATTCGATCAATTTGCTTAAGGTTACTAGTACATCTGGATCAAAATTAAACAAGACTCACTACACTGAAAAAAAAAAAATTCTTCTACTGGAACCTTAGTAAAGATCCCAAAAACTTCCAAGTTTCCCAATTATTTGTAGAGATTATATGATTAAAGATTTCCCTGATTTTTAATTTTCGTATAAATAATAATGAAAACGTCAGTGAACGACTGACCGGTACAAACTTGTGAAGTGCAGTGACAACACGAAGGTTGGAACAGGAAGTACTAAGAATTTGATAAGCATCAAAAAGGTGAATAGAAACGAAGAGAATAGTTGAACATAATCATTATTAAAAATTCTGTGTAAAATATTTATGAATGAGAAACCAGTGCAGGGTTTTGTATTCTCCAGTACACAACAGGTGTAGGTGTTTGTATTCTCCAGTACACAACAGGTTTAGGTGTTTGTATTCTCCAGTACACAACAGGTGTAGGTGTTTGTATTCTCCAGTACACAACAGGTGTAGGTGTTTGTATTCTCCAGTACACAACAGGTTTAGGTGTTTGTATTCTCCAGTACACAACAGGTGTAGGTGTTTGTATTCTCCAGTACACAACAGGTTTAGGTGTTTGTATTCTCCAGTACACAACAGGTGTAGGTGTTTGTATTCTCCAGTACACAACAGGTGTAGGTGTTTGTATTCTCCAGTACACAACAGTTTAGGTGTTTGTATTCTCCAGTACACAACAGGTGTAGGTGTTTGTATTCTCCAGTACACAACAGGTGTAGGTGTTTGTATTCTCCAGTACACAACAGGTTTAGGTGTTTGTATTCTCCAGTACACAACAGGTGTAGGTGTTTGTATTCTCCAGTACACAACAGGTGTAGGTGTTTGTATTATCCAGTACACAACAGGTTTAGGTGTTTGTATTCTCCAGTACACAACAGGTGTAGGTGTTTGTATTCTCCAGTACACAACAGGTGTAGGTGTTTGTATTCTCCAGTACACAACAGGTGTAGGTGTTTGTATTCTCCGGTACACAACAGGTGTAGGTGTTTGTATTCTCCGGTACACAACAGGTGTAGGTGTTTGTATTCTCCGGTACACAACAGGTGTAGGTGTTTGTATTCTCCAGTACACAACAGGTGTAGGTGTTTGTATTCTCCGGTACACAACAGGTTTAGGTGTTTGTAATCTCCGGTACACAACAGGTGTAGGTGTTTGTATTCTCCGGTACACAACAGGTGTAGGTGTTTGTATTCTCCGGTACACAACAGGTTTAGGTGTTTGTATTCTCCGGTACACAACAGGTGTAGGTGTTTGTATTCTCCGGTACACAACAGGTGTAGGTGTTTGTATTCTCCTGTACACAACAGGTGTAGGTGTTTGTATTCTCCAGTACACAACAGGTGTAGGTGTTTGTATTCTCCAGTACACAACAGGTGTAGGTGTTTGTATTCTCCGGTACACAACAGGTTTAGGTGTTTGTATTCTCCGGTACACAACAGGTGTAGGTGTTTGTATTCTCCGGTACACAACAGGTTTAGGTGTTTGTATTCTCCAGTACACAACAGGTTTAGGTGTTTGTATTCTCCAGTACACAACAGGTGTAGGTGTTTGTATTCTCCAGTACACAACAGGTTTAGGTGTTTGTATTCTCCAGTACACAACAGGTGTAGGTGTTTGTATTCTCCAGTACACAACAGGTGTAGGTGTTTGTATTCTCCAGTACACAACAGGTTTAGCTGTTTGTATTCTCCAGTACACAACAGGTGTAGGTGTTTGTATTCTCCAGTACACAACAGGTGTAGGTGTTTGTATTCTCCAGTACACAACAGGTTTAGGTGTTTGTATTCTCCAGTACACAACAGGTGTAGGTGTTTGTATTCTCCAGTACACAACAGGTGTAGGTGTTTGTATTATCCAGTACACAACAGGTTTAGGTGTTTGTATTCTCCGGTACACAACAGGTGTAGGTGTTTGTATTCTCCGGTACACAACAGGTGTAGGTGTTTGTATTCTCCGGTACACAACAGGTTTAGGTGTTTGTAATCTCCGGTACACAACAGGTGTAGGTGTTTGTATTCTCCGGTACACAACAGGTGTAGGTGTTTGTATTCTCCGGTACACAACAGGTGTAGGTGTTTGTATTCTCCGGTACACAACAGGTTTAGGTGTTTGTATTCTCCGGTACACAACAGGTGTAGGTGTTTGTATTCTCCGGTACACAACAGGTGTAGGTGTTTGTATTCTCCGGTACACAACAGGTTTAGGTGTTTGTAATCTCCGGTACACAACAGGTGTAGGTGTTTGTATTCTCCGGTACACAACAGGTGTAGGTGTTTGTATTCTCCGGTACACAACAGGTGTAGGTGTTTGTATTCTCCGGTACACAACAGGTTTAGGTGTTTGTAATCTCCG